ATTATATTATATTGGTATTATATTATATTGGTATTATATTATATTGGTATTATATTATATTGGTATTATATTATATTGGTATTATATTATATTGGTATTATATTATATTGGTATTATATTATATTGGTATTATATTATATTGGTATTATATTATATTGGTATTATATTATATTGGTATTATATTATATTGGTATTATATTATATTGGTATTATATTATATTGGTATTATATTATATTGGTATTATATTATATTGGTATTATATTATATTGGTATTATATTATATTGGTATTATATTATATTGGTATTATATTATATTGGTATTATATTATATTGGTATTATATTATATTGGTATTATATTATATTGGTATTATATTATATTGGTATTATATTATATTGGTATTATATTATATTGGTATTATATTATATTGGTATTATATTATATTGGTATTATATTATATTGGTATTATATTATATTGGTATTATATTATATTGGTATTATATTATATTGGTATTATATTATATTGGTATTATATTATATTGGTATTATATTATATTGGTATTATATTATATTGGTATTATATTATATTGGTATTATATTATATTGGTATTATATTATATTGGTATCATATTATATTGGTATTATATTATATTGGTATTATATTATATTGGTATTATATTATATTGGTATTATATTATATTGGTATTATATTATATTGGTATTATATTATATTGGTATTATATTATATTGGTATTATATTATATTGGTATTATATTATATTGGTATTATATTATATTGGTATTATATTATATTGGTATTATATTATATTGGTATTATATTATATTGGTATTATATTATATTGGTATTATATTATATTGGTATTATATTATATTGGTATTATATTATATTGGTATTATATTATATTGGTATTATATTATATTGGTATTATATTATATTGGTATTATATTATATTGGTATTATATTATATTGGTATTATATTATATTGGTATTATATTATATTGGTATTATATTATATTGGTATTATATTATATTGGTATTATATTATATTGGTATTATATTATATTGGTATTATATTATATTGGTATTATATTATATTGGTATTATATTATATTGGTATTATATTATACTGGTATTATATTATATTGGTATTATATTATATTGGTATTATATTATATTGGTATTATATTATATTGGTATTATATTATATTGGTATTATATTATATTGGTATTATATTATATTGGTATTATATTATATTGGTATTTTATTATATTGGTATTATATTATATTGGTATTATATTATATTGGTATTATATTATATTGGTATTATATTATATTGGTATTATATTATATTGGTATTATATTATATTGGTATTATATTATATTGGTATTATATTATATTGGTATTATATTATATTGGTATTATATTATATTGGTATTATATTATATTGGTATTATATTATATTGGTATTATATTATATTGGTATTATATTATATGTATTATATAATATTCGTATTATATAATATTCGTATTATATTATAATGGTATTATATTATATTGGTTTTATATTATTATTGTATATTTTATATTATATATTATATTACACTTTATAATATTACATTATTTTAGTATTATAGTGTATTACATTATTAGTTTATATTATTAATTTATATTATTATTTTATATTATTAGTATTATATTATATTATATTATTATTATATATTTTATATTATATTACACTATATTATATATTTGTATTTTATTATATAGGAATGTTACTTGTGGTGTTTTAAATTACGTACAAATATATTTGGCTATTTTGAACTTGACGATTTCGTGTGGGAACCATAACTTTCATATAAAAACCTTTCATATAAATAATTGCGACTTTATAGGCTATTGTTACTTGCAACTATTGTTGCATTTAAAAAATTATAAAAAAAGTAAAATTTTCATTTTTTAAAGAACGCATGTTTTTTTTTTTACCATTAACAATATTTATTTATTTCAAAATAATTTTTTTTTTATTTATAAATAAATATATTTTTTTTCATAAATAAAAATTATTTTATTAAAAATTAGCTCTCCATTTTTTTTTATAATTAATTAAAGTCAATATTTTTTTTATTAAATTTTCTTTTTTAAGCTATAATTTAGAATAATAGATAACAGCAGAAGAATTCCATGAAAATGACCAAAAAAACAACTCAAAACTTATCTTAATTCTTTTTTTACTATAGGCATTACAATAAACTGGATAAATTGAGACTCTTCATAAGCAACTATTTTTATTAAGCTATAAATATGTTTTTTTCCTAATTAATTAAAATTTTCATGTTTAATCTAATTTTCACAATATATATTTAGTCTACACTAAAAATAGATAATAGAAGAAGAATTCCATGAAAATGTCCAAATAAACAACTCAAAACTTAGATAAATAGATTATATCTTAATTCTTTTTATACTATAGGCATTACAATAAACTGGATAAATTGAGACTCTTCATAAGAATATTTTTATTAAACTATAAATTATAAATATGTTTTTTTTCTAATTAATTAAATTTTTCATGTTTAATCTAATTTTCACAATATATATATTTAGTCTACACTAAAAATAGATAACAGCAGAATAATTCCATTAAAATGACCAAAAAAACAAAATAGATTATATCTTAATTCTTTTTATACTATAGGCATTACAATAAACTGGATAAATTGAGACTCTTCATAAGCAAATATTTTTATTAAGCTATAAATTATAAATATGTTTTTTTCCTAATTATTTAAATTTTTCATGTTTAATCTAATTTTCACAATATATATTTAGTCTACACTAAAAATAGATAATAGCAGAAGAATTCCATGAAAATGACCAAAAAAACAACTCAAAACTTAGATAAATAGATTATATCTTAATTCTTTTTATACTATAAGCATTACAATAAACTGGATAAATTGAGACTCTTTTTAAGCAAATATTTATTTCTTTTTCATAACATTTGTATTTTAAATATGATTACACTATTTAAATATATTATAATAAAAATAGATACAATTATAATAATTTTGAATGCAATTTGTGAAATGACAAGGTTTTAGGTAATTGTAATTGATCCTGTATGGGTAGTTCTATATTCTCTTTGGATAATTGTAGATTTTCTTTGGGTAGTTCTAGATTCTCTTTGGATAATTGTAGATTTTCTTGATTCGTGATATCCTGGATTATGTATATCATGTATACTGATACATTTTAGATATGGTCCATCTTTGGCAAAAGAAATTCTGGATAAACAATTTTTCTTGACAGACAATCTTTGTCTTTTTCCTTTAAAAAATTTTAATATATACTTTAACCCTTTTATACTCCGTTAAGTATTATTTAGGCAAATTAAAATTAGCTAAAATGGATTTCAGGAAAACATAGCATTATTATCATGATGTAAAAAAAAGAAAAAATGTCATAATGCTATCAACATTCCATCATAATAAAAATATTGATAATAATAACCAACAAAAACCTGAAATCATAACAAGTTTAAGGTTAGTTCTATCTTATATTCAAATATTAAATCAAAATAATGAATATAACTGGAGATATATACATTTGAAATTGGGGTCTATTAAACCCCACCGGAGTACTAACGTCATTTTTTTCACTGGAGTATTGAAGGGTTAATAAAAATTAAAACCTTTTGATTTGGATGGTCTGACCTTGCCCTCATAACATTGGTAATAAAGTCGTTCGTACATTATTGTAGACTTAAGTATTGGGTCCTTCTATTTTTTAGAACGGTGTATTGAATAATTTGTCGGATTAGAAATTTCGTATTTATTTAGCCATTCTTTTAAAATGAAGAATGACGAATATCTAACATTTACTACAAAAGGTGTGTAATAATAATAAATAATATTTTTTATCTGCAAGAGTTGTATCTATCTCATAATTTCCAGTAGGGCTTGATTCGATCATAGGAGGGACTAATACCATAAAAAATATTTGGCTTAAAAAAATATATTTTTTACCTGCAACAGTATCTATTTCACAATTTCCAGTAGGGTTTAATTCGATCATATTTGACTTTAATTAATTATAAAAAAAAATGGAGAGCTAATTTTTAATAAAATAATTTTTATTTATGAAAAAAAAAATATTTATTTATAAATAAAAAAAAAATTATTTTGAAATAAATAAATATTGTTAATGGTAAAAAAAAAAACATGCGTTCTTTAAAAAATGAAAATTTTACTTTTTTTATAATTTTTTAAATGCAACAATAGTTGCAAGTAACAATCGTTTCCCTAACTTTCATATAAAAACCTTTCATATAAAAAATTGCGACTGAGAAATAATTGCGACATTTTTATGATTGGTTTTGATAATTGCGACTTTATGCCCATTGGATATTAAAAATTAAACGTTTATTTAAATTTTAGCTTTCAAATAGGATATTACAAGATATTTATAATAAAATGCTCAATTCAAGTTTAATAAATATATACTTTAATTATCCATAATATTTTTTTTATAACTTTAAGATCAACATAATTTTCCAAATTTATAACATTTTTATGTATTATTTTAAGATCAACATATTTCAAATATGGAAGAACTTCCAATTATGACTGTTTTCAAATAGGATATTACAAGATATTTATAATAAAATGCTCAATTCAAGTTTAATAAATATATACTTTAATTATCCATAATATTTTTTTTATAACTTTAAGATCAACATAATTTTCCAAATTTATAACATTTTTATGTATTATTTTAAGATCAACATATTTCAAATATGGAAGAACTTCCAATTATGACTGTTTTCAAATAGGATATTACAAGATATTTATAATAAAATGCTCAATTCAAGTTTAATAAATATATACTTTAATTATCCATAATATTTTTTTTATAACTTTAAGATCAACATAATTTTCCAAATTTATAACATTTTTATGTATTATTTTAAGATCAACATATTTCAAATATGGAAGAACTTCCAATTATGACTGTTTTCAAATAGGATATTACAAGATATTTATAATAAAATGCTCAATTCAAGTTTAATAAATATATACTTTAATTATCCATAATATTTTTTTTATAACTTTAAGATCAACATAATTTTTCAAACTTATAACATTTTTATTTTAGCTTTCAAATAGGATATTACAAGATATTTATAATAAAATGCTCAATTCAAGTTTAATAAATATATACTTTAATTATCCATAATATTTTTTTTATAACTTTAAGATCAACATAATTTTCCAAATTTATAACATTTTTATGTATTATTTTAAGATCAACATATTTCAAATATGGAAGAACTTCCAATTATGACTGTTTCTGCAAATCTGAGAAATTTAAGAGAAACAGGGGGTATATAATAATGCAAATTTTATATTTACTTAATTTCATATTTAAAGGCTTGATTTCATTCAAGCGTTCTAGTCATAAAAAAATGATATTATGTCATCTAAGGAAAAATTATAGGAAGGATAAAAAAAGAGGGGACAATATATATTTTAGATGTTGTGTATGTAATGGCAGAGGAGTTTTTTGTAAAGGTATTTTTAAAATTACCAAAGTGCATGCTTCTAACTGTGGTGATGACATAATAAACAATCAGATTCCTCAAAGTAATCAAGGTATAATATTTCAAATCAAACTTATATTGGCATTAATATTTTAATTTTTTTTTTAACATATATAGTTGTAATTGTAAGCATAAATGAAGATGCTCAATCCACTGGTGTGTCCACTTCATCTAATTTTGTTTCACAAGCTGAGCCTGGTATTTAAAATATATTTTATTGATATCTAGGTTTAGGTATTTAAAATTTATTTAAATAATATTTATATAATTAATATTTATGTTTATAATATTTCAAATCTTTTCCTATTTAAACATTTTAGATCAAACCTCTATTCAAAGCACGAGATTTGATGGTGGAACTTCATCAAATTCTATATCTAATCAAACTGATTTTGTTATTTAATACTTTTTTAATTATTTTATTCTATTCTGTCAATAGTGAGAAGTTTAAATGATGGAATTCGATTAGCGATCGATGGTTTTGTTTCAAATCAAACTAATCTCAGTATTCAATAATACTTTAAATCAATTTCTAATTCTATATTATAGATCTTATTTCTGTCATACTAACAACTGATTCATTAGATGAATCAAATTTAATTCATCAAGATCCTAGTAAAATATTATGATGATTAATTTTTACATTAAATATTTGCAGATAATTTTGAATATATTAAATCAAAAAGATACAATTTATTAATATTTCATCAAAAGTATCTATATGTTTGCAATCGAACATACAAAGAGACCAAATATTATATGTAATTAAACAAACTTTTATAAATAAATATTATACGAAGTTATATTTTGAGTGTTTATTTAAATTTTATTTTAATTTTTTATAAACAGATGCCGCCAACTAAACTGCCCCTCGCGTGCTATATTCACAAATAATCAATTCCATGTAAAATCAAAATATGTACATACACATATTGATGATTTATCTGAATATTACGGTATAAAAACCCGTAATAGTCTTAAAAATGCGATGATAGCAAATCCATTTTTAAATATTTCCACCATCTACAGTAATGTGATGGTTGAAGTTATGTCTTATCCAGATATACATAAATATCCAGAGGCGATCCCACCCTTGCATTCTGTTATAAAAATGATGAAAAGAGTGGTACCTGGTTATGTGCCTTTCCTCCCTCAGGACACATATTCAATCAATTTAACAAATTACAATAATACTCTTCAGGGCTTACCATTTTTATTGGCACATACGCCAAATAAAGATATCATAATATATGGGACACTTGATTTTTTAAAACTTATGTGCTCATCCAAAAATTTATACATGGATGGCACGTTTTTTACTGCTCCAACTCATTTCACCCAATTATATACAATACATGTATTAATCGGGAAAAGTATGATATGTGTGATTTTCGCTATATTACCTGATAAGCGAAAATCAACTTATATTAAATTCCTAGAAATGGTTAAAGATAAGTGCGCTCTACATGGAGGACTTCTGCTAGAGCCCGAATCGATTCAAATCGATTTTGAAATTAGCATGAAGCTAGCTCTTCTAGTTGTTTTTCCTTATGCTGTGATCCGAGGTAAATTAAAACAATATATATTTTATAATATTTATTTATTCCAGGGTGCTTCTTCCACTATGGTCAATCTTTGTGGAGAAAAATCCAAAGCTTATCATTGACCAGAGATTATAAGGAAAGAGCCGATGTTCAGGGTATACTTCGGAGGATATTTGCACTACCATTTTGCAATCCTTCGCAGTTATCCACTGTGTATACCCAGACATTTATTGAGTCAGAGGCTTTAAATATCGAAGCTCTGAGGCAATTTATGTTATATTTTTCAAAGACGTACATATGTACGAATAACTTTAACTCCACGTTTTGGAGTCGCTACAACGTAGAAGGCCCAAGAACTAATAATAACGTGGAGGGTTTTCATAATGGGCTGAAAAAATTAATTAAAACAGCCCACCCGGATATTTATACGTTTATTAGTAAGTTGCAAATAATTCAAGCTAATATGGAATTAAAACTCCAACAATAGGGTCATTCCATGTCAAATCAATCACTTTTCGGCCGACCCCTTTCGATTTCGATAAAAATTCGTAGGCTGGTTATATATGTTCCCATTAGATTATAAACAAAATTTTAGCGCATTAGAAACTATATTAGCGGAGATATTCGGGGTTAAAGGTCCAAAAAACGTCTTTTTTTGCTTTTTACTGATGTTAAATAATTAGTTTTTAATTTAAAACTAAATATGATCAAATATTGAATCTAATATCAATAGCCAAGTTAAAAATTGATGATTATGGCGAAAACATCAAAATTAATTTTTGATAAAATATGGGTCATCTTATGGTCAGTTGAAAACTTGAAATTAATATTTCGAAATGTATATGATCTCCGATTTTTAATTTTTTAAGAATTATTATCCGTTTACTATTTTTTTAATAATTTATTCGACAATCAGTATGGCTGGGTATTTATTTAAAAAAATATTGGGATTATTATACTTTAGAAAAAATAGATGGCGCTATATATAATAGTTTTAATATGTTAAAATTTATTTTTTTATTGATTAAAAATATTTTAATGTATATATATCATACTAAATCGATTACAATGTGCATTAAATATATTATTTGTAATTCAGATCATAAATTTTTAAAATCTTCACAAATTTTGCCTAATTAAGATAGTTTATAAATTAATTAAATCTTACTTCATCTAAAGGAATACAAAGCCTGGCTAGCTTGTGAGATTCTTCAGGAGATAATATATATGTTCGACTGGTGGGAGTAGAAGGATTGACCAGCGAGAGAATATGAGATTTAGGCAACACTAAAATATTATCTTTCAGAGGAAATTTAAATGAGGCTGAAGGTCCACAAGGGTGTAAAAATCGGATTTTTACTTCTTCATTTGTATAACTTTTATCGATTATATATCCTAACCACCATTTATCATCATATACACATGTTATATATTCATTAATATTTTAAAATATAATTTTCTCATTTAAAAACGGAACTTGTTTTATATTATATTTTTTGGAATTAGAATATATTTTGGTTTTTAGTTTATTTTGATCAATGGGAATAATCCCGTGAATTTTTTGGGTCCCATGTATGGGCAGTGCAGAATTAAATCTTTTACGAAGGGCTAATTCCTCTTCGATTTATTCTTGATTGGATACATATTCAAATAAAATATTAATATTTTCTTTAGCATAATTATATAATTCTAATGGGGTTAGGATTTGATTTTTATTTGGCCTTTGAAGACTAGCTCTGGCAAATCTTTTGACAGTTCCTCCGATACCGTCACATGCATTTTTGCCGTGAGCAGTGACAAAGAAATGCCATTCGGAAAATCGTATTTATGAAGGCATATGTTCAGAAAATTTTTGCGATTCTTGTATTGAGACGCGGCTTCATCCGAAAATATATTATTTTTTATGGTTTAGAATGAAATTTGGCTGTTAAGAATTTAATGAATTTTTTTTGATAAAGGTGGACTGCACTAGTATTATGGCTTAATGATTCGGACAAAATAACAAAATTTATATTTTTTAATTCTTCTCCAGATTTATAATATGCTACAAATGGATGTATAGTGGCCTGCACATTGTTCCAATGAAATCCCTGAACTTCATCTTGTAAAATGAAGGAATAATTTTCAGAATAATCTAGAATTGTTAAAAATTCCTCATCTTTTAAATTTTCTTTGGAATTCTTCAAAAATAAACTTTGTGTTTAGCTATAAACGAGTGACGCAGTAAAATTTGAACTTTTTATAATAGATATTCGATGAAACCATCAATGGACTTTATAATAGTTTCAAGATTTGCTCTATCCACCGTGATCCATTGTTTAAACGTGACATATTCTATACGATTTCTCTGAAACAATTCGTATAATTGGCCCATAAGAGATTCTATACCAGGGCATTGATCACAATTTGTTAAATAACATTTTGGCTGAGATGGATTATAAATAATTTGCGCCAAAAGATTGTTATAAGAATTTATACAGTAATCTTCTCCTGCTGTAATTTCAGCTATTACATTTGTCATTAATTTCACATTCTGATGAATGGCGCAGACACAAACAGTGTGTGTGCCATCCAACTAAAATTCAGTTTTTTGGTCTAAGTTCGGCAAATTTAGGGAATCTAATTGATATACTTGGGTATTCTTCCTTAAACATCTTGAATATTTCTTTAAGATTATTTAATATAAATCTTTGCTAATTTATTCTCGCCTTTAACAGATACAATCTTTTATTCCAGGCATGAGTCGGCTTATTTCATCAGAACTATAATTTTGTTATTTTTATTGCTTAAAAAATTTTTCAAAATCTTTGAAATTTTCTTTATCTCTGGTTATTTTAATAATGTAAGATAATGACAATTTCATAACATTCTTGGTCTTAATGGGTATGACTTAGTCTGGGGAGGGGGTGGATAGGGGGTTGGGGGTAGGCCTAGTAATTAATGCGATTTTCGATTTTTCCCTTAATAATTTTTCTGCACCCCTTTAATCCTGCTTTTTTGTTCGTGTGCTAGTCCGATTTTTTAATTATTTTAATTTACAATGAAATATTAAAAAAATTATTAAAATTTTTTATCCTGCGAATATCTCAGGGGAATAAGGTTTACAAAGTTATATAATCGAATTTTATGATATATTTACATTAAAATATTTTTAATCAATAAAAAAAATGAATTTTAACATATTAAAACTATTATATATAGCGCCATCTATTTTTTTTAAAGTATAAAAATCGCAATATTTTTTTAAATAAATATCCAGCCATGCTAATTGTTAAAGAAATTATTAAAAAAATAGTAAACGGATAATATTTCTTAAAAAAATTAAAAATCGGAGATCATATACATTTCGAAATATTAATTTCAAGTTTTCAACTGACCATAAGATGACCGGGTATGACTAAATACTGTCTTGCTAAACTGTCTTGCTAAAAAGCAATTAATCATAATTAATCATAATTTGATGATATAATATCTTTTAAAAAAAATTTTTCTAAAACATTTTATTTATTTTACATAAATCAATTTTTAATTAATTAAAAAATTGATAATAAATATCAAATAATTTAAAATTCTATTTTTAATTAATTTTATTGGAAAAAAAATATATTTACTAGCTTATTACAACTTATATTTTATTTTTCAATTACAAAATTTAACAAATTTATATCCATAAGAGGGCGTTAAATACATAAATATGAAAATATATTCTTAGGTAACCAGAATAAATATTGGATAGCGCTTTTTTTGTATTTGGGTGTAAATACATGTGAAAAACCTAAAAAAAATTTTAAAAATAGAGGTTTCTTTGAGAATTAATTAATGAGTAGGTTTAGAAGCGAAAAATAGTAGAAAGTTTGTAAGGAACATATTGCTGGCGTTATTGATCAAAATTTCTTCATTTTTGGTTTATACTTGTATATTTAGGTGTTAAACATTATCCTAAAAAATATTTTGAAAATATTATGATTTGACCGAATGCCGGGCTTAAAACCGACCAATTACTAATATTCGATCGACCAAATTTGGTGTTAATATTATTTGGAAAATGTTCATTTTTTGGTTTATTTATCTATAAATACGTGCAAATCATTATCCCCAAAAATATTTTAAAAATATCGTGATTTGACAGAAAACCGATTTGAAACCGGCCCAATGACTAAATACTGTCTTGCTGGCGTTATAGATGGAAAATTCTTTATTTTTGGTTTATAGGTGAACAATAACGTGTTAAGCATTATCCTAATTAATTTTTTGAAAATATTATAATTTAACCGAATGGCGAGCTCAAAACCGACCACTTACTAAATATTCGATCTACCAAATTTGGTAGTAATATTATTTGGAAAATGTTCATTTTTGGTTAATATATCTATAAATACGTGCAAATCATTATCCCAAAAAATATTTTAAAAATATCGTGATTTGACCGATAACCGATTTGAAACCGAAATACTGTCTTGCTGGCGTTATACATAGAAAATCTCTTCATATTTGGTTTATAGGTGTATATTTAGGTGTTAAACATTATCCTAAAAAATATTTTGAAAATATTATGATTTGACCGAATGGCGAGCTCAAAACCGACCACTTACTAAATATTCGATCTACCAAATTTGGTAGTAATATTATTTGGAAAATGTTCATTTTTGGCTAATATATCTATAAATACGTGCAAATCATTATCCCAAAAAATATTTTAAAAATATCGTGATTTGACCGATAACCGATTTGAAACCGAAATACTGTCTTGCTGGCGTTATACATAGAAAATCTCTTCATTTTTGGTTTATAGGTGTATATTTAGGTGTTAAACATTATCCTAAAAAATATTTTGAAAATATTATGATTTGACCGAATGGCGAGCTCAAAACCGACCACTTACTAAATATTCGATCTACCAAATTTGTTAGTAATATTATTTGGAAAATAATCATTTTTGGTTTATTTATCTATAAATACGTGCAAATCATTATCCCAAAAAATATTTTAAAAATATCGTGATTTGACCGATAACCGATTTGAAACCGAAATACTGTCTTGCTGGCGTTATACATAGAAAATCTCTTCATTTTTGGTTTATAGGTGTATATTTAGGTGTTAAACATTATCCTAAAAAATATTTTGAAAATATTATGATTTGACCGAATGGCGAGCTCAAAACCGACCACTTACTAAATATTCGATCTACCAAATTTGGTAGTAATATTATTTGGAAAATGTTCATTTTTGGTTAATATATCTATAAATACGTGCAAATCATTATCCCAAAAAATATTTTAAAAATATCGTGATTTGACCGATAACCGATTTGAAACCGAAATACTGTCTTGCTGGCGTTATACATAGAAAATCTCTTCATTTTTGGTTTTAGGTGTATATTTAGGTGTTAAACATTATCCTAAAAAATATTTTGAAAATATTATGATTTGACCGAATGGCGAGCTCAAAACCGACCACTTACTAAATATTCGATCTACCAAATTTGGTAGTAATATTATTTGGAAAATGTTCATTTTTGGTTAATATATCTATAAATACGTGCAAATCATTATCCCAAAAAATATTTTAAAAATATCGTGATTTGACAGAAAACCGATTTGAAACCGGCCCAATGACTAAATACTGTCTTGCTGGCGTTATACATGGAAAATTCTTTATTTTTGGTTTATACGTGAACAATAACGTGTTAAGCATTATCCTAATTAATATTTTGAAAA